TTAATAATCAAGGTTTGATCAGAAATTATATTTCTTTTATAAAAAATGTGATTGAAATAAAGTTATAATTCCCAAGCTTGTATTTTTGAGATATACAATACAAATATGTAAAATATATTTAATTTTCGGGACAAATTTTAACAAAACGTTAGAAAATTTTTCTAGAAAAACCCTTTAATTACCACTTTTATTTTGAAGAGTGTGTTTATTACATATTTATATTTTTGTAACTATTTTTTTTTTTTTTGTATTTTGCAATCTGTCTTATATACCAAAGAATACAATAAACAACTTTGATGTGTTATTAATATTTATTATTTTCTTTTTAAATACGTGTTGTTAAAAATACAAAATGCATATTATGCGCTTATAGTCATTATTGATAAATAGTTTATACAGTTTCCCTATCAGTTAAAAACTGCAAAATATATAAAATCAAAGTAAGGTATAGGTAATAAATCTCTTTATCTTAATCTATTTATTGTTCCTAAACCGTAACTTAATTTATATCTGTTATAATACCCGAATGCATATTTTACAGACTCAAAAGAAAGAACTTTCCCCGTTTCCTCAACAAATTACTAAACACAATAAAAATTACCAAAGAACTTGCTTTGTTAACATCGTTATATTTTTTCTCCCAGTGTACCCCTGGGCACGTGACTCGCAGACAGCTATTCGCTCCCCCTCCCCCCTCAGGCCGATAGTTACCGTCACGAACTCATCGCTAAATCACGGCACCCCCCTCATACCCCAACAACCACCGAATGGTGATTAAATTTTAGCCACAAGACAAGTGCTAAATTACCGCGAACCAAAACAAATCAAAATCAGGCAAGTGTGCATTCCAAATAGAAATAACGCATTGTCGGGGGAAAGCACCTGGAAAGCACCACCTGTCGAAAGGAAAACCCCAGGAAAACCCGAGAAAACCCCCACCCACCCGCTGGTGGGCCTCAGCAGTGGCGTCCAATGACAACGGCTGCCGAAATCCAAGACATGGCTGCAATCTTGTACGGATTTCATGGGGATTAATTAAAATTGCCAATTACGAATTCATTAAGGCAGATCAAATTGTAAGGCGCGGCGCCCATTAAGGCGGCTTTGCGTTACGTTACGTTACGGCCGTACAGTTGACTTCCGGCGAATAGGTTTTAGCCAGATTTCAGCTAAAGAATCAATTGGAAGTTGGTCTTAGATTTGCTGGAAGTTCTTCTTCTGAGTGATTTTAATATTAACAAAATGAGAATGCTGCTAACTAAAGTTTAGGAAAATATTATTTAGAAATTAAGAAGTGATTATTTTTAACAAGAAAAATTTAGGGAGTATAAAGAGCAAGCTAAACATTTTGAATAAGTTTAAATTCTTCTGAGTGATTTTAATATTAACAAAATGAGAATGCTGCTAACTAAAGTTTTGGAAAATATTATTTAGAAATTAGGAAGTGAATATTTTTAACAAGAAAAATTCAGGGAGTATGAAGAGCAAGCTAAACATTTTGAATAAGTTTAAATTGTACGAAAAATTTAAAGAATTAAGCCAATTAATTAACTCTAACAAGAAAGGAAGTTAAAAAACAATAAAGTAATGTTTGCTTTCATTTCATTCACCTAAATATATGTATATTATATTTCCAGTTTTACATTCACCAGTTTGCATTTTCCTCTATTTTTAACGATCGTTTGTATGGCAGTTATTTGATATAATAGTCAGATTTTCAGAAAATTTTACACAAAATTCTAGATTAATATATAATGGCCATATATTAAATTTGGTGAAAATCTGTTGAAAACTGAAAAAGTTCCAATATTTTTTTTTCTTAAAATTTTCCGATCGTTTCTATGGCAGCTATATATATGTATATATATATATATAGTCCACCGATTTGCTATGCTCCGATTTATATGCTAGTAAAATTATATAGAAGAATAACTTCATGGTGTCATTTAAATAGCTTACTCTTAAATTTGTTCCAAAACAAATCTCGCGCATCTGCGCATATAATTCCCAACTGGTTCTAACATTCCCGGAACGAAGTGACTGCTGCCAGCCAAGTCTCAGAAGTGTGTTGTTTTACAAAAGTTGCAAGTCATTGTTTATTAGTGTTTAAAGTTAGTAACTGTTTATATATACTTCCTGGCTAGATCTATTCGGCTGATCAAGACTATATATATGTATATACTATATATGGTAGGAGATGACTCCTTCACTACTTCTGACTGATATTACAATACCCTGCAAGGCTATAAAAATGCTTTGCTTAGCAAATTACTATTTATTTTACAAGTTAGTATGCAAACCTACTTAAAACTCATACTAAATTTAGAACTTGTTTTCTTATTCTTTATAATTTTAAAGCCAAATTACTGCAAATTTCCCTAATATTTTCGTAGGCTTGCCTAATTAGAAGTTTATACCAGTTTTGTTTGAATTTTTCCAGACTTTTTCTCTGGCTTCGAATCTTCATTCCTTCTCAGCTTGTATTTATTTACCGATTTTTGTTGTCATTTAAAAATAGTTTTCCTCGTTCTCGGATCCGTTTTCAACTTGGCAATTGTTTGTCACTTTGGGCTCAAATCCGAAGAGAGAAGGAGCCAGACTGACAGAATGCGTGTTAATCACTCGATTGTTGGCAAAAGTGGGGAAAATCAGAGCTGAGTCGGGAAATTGGAGTCTGTGATGCCACGGCAGTTGAAGTAATTTAGCCAAAAGATGGGGCATGTACTTTGGGGGGCGGTATTCTAATTAATTTGCGTTGACATTGACGGGGCGAGGGGGTTGAAGGAGGTTGACTAAGGGCCACAACTGCTGACATGCAACAGATTTATAACGTTATTTGTTTGTCGTCTGCAGTCTGCTGTTGCAGTTTGTTGTGGCAGCTGCGGCTCACTTTTTGATTGCCTGCCGCGAGATGAGAGACGGAAGGAAAATCGGATGGAAAAGCAGACAAAAGCGCCGCACGACCCAAACGAAAATGGAAATGAAAATGGAAATGGAAATGGAACTGAGAATGAAAATGAAAACTGTGTCGCACATCACTCAGGCCGAAAACTGGGGAAACTCAACCCGTCTCAGAGCAGCTCAACTCAACTCATCTCGAGTCGAGTCGTGTCGAGTCAAGTGGCCAAGGACCAGACAGTGGCACGACAGGATTAACCCTCGGGAGCGAAGGACTCTTTTGCCAGGCGAAAGGTTCTTAAAAAACGCGCCAGAGAGTCATCTTGATTTGAGGAATTTTGCTTTGTGAAGCAGCTCTAAAGAATATATCATTGTCACAAAAGAGCTTTGAGTAGGTAATTTCTAATATTTAAAAGAGATTAAATACAACTTGAATTCTTTTTAATTTAAGCTACTTTTCGGTTCACTATTCACTCCATTATAACTATTTAAATACCTATTAATATACACCTTCTTTAAACCTCTAGTATTAGCTCTTCAAATGCTTAACCATTAATTAGAAGATATGAAGATATTGATTATGAAAAAGATACATCCAAGCCAATCTGTTCCAAAAAAGTGTTCACTTTTCCTGGCCATAATTCAAGCCAATCTGTTGCCAAAAAAAACCATAGTTATGAGTTCATTAACATTGGACATTAACTAATTTGGAGCCGCAACAGCTTGTCTCTCAATTAATTGTCCAACTGGCCGGTCAAAGATTACAGATTCCAGACACATTTCTCCTCAGATCCTTGGCAATAAATGTTTTGCTACTTCCAAAGAGAATCCTTTGTTTAAATGCCACCTTCAAAGGCAGCGGGTATTTACACATTTTTAATAACATTCTCCGTTCGCAAATCAACTGAGGCTGAAGCTGAAACAAGACTGTGTGTATGAACTTGACATCAAAATGAACAAAACACTCTGGCTCCCGGAGAGGTTAAATCATATTTGACAAACAACAAACAAGGAGGAGGAGGGACACGCATGTGTGTGCCTTCCAGGAAAATGCAGAGGAAAAACTCATAGAGTGGGGGGAGGGAGGAAGAGGAGGAACAGACAAGGTGTCTGAGCGAGTCGCAACAACGCCTGCCATATGACACATAAATATGTCCTGCTGTCGTCTTTCCGCCCCCCGAAAACAATGTACAAATAAAACAATACAAAATCATCAGCCATCAGGAGCAGCAGTTTTTGTGTAAATCTGAGGGTTGCTACCTTAACGAAATCATTTATTTTTGAATGAAATAGTTAAGAATTAAATTTCAGAGAAATAACTGAGGAAGAGCAAGGTTCTGATTCAAATAAAACTTATTTAAAATCATAATATTACCTCTTAACCTTTTTAAAACCTATCTAGGTTGCCTTTGAATTTTCTCAGTTTCGGAAAAGTGTGAATGATGAGGCTTCCAAAGGAGGCAAATCAAAGCCCCAGACAAGTGGAGAGAATTTCCAACATGTTGAACCTGACGAGGACGACAAGGACGAACGAGGACGAAGACGGTGACGGCACAGCGTTGATGATAACGTCGAGGACTTCCAGACAAAGGACACGACGCCAAGCTCTTGACTTTTTTGACTTTGTTATTTATTTTATTTTCCCCTCCTTATGCTTCATTTTTTTTTTCTTTCTCCAGCGACAAATCGACATTTGCTGCATTAAATGCTGATCAAATACACTTCCGCTCGTTTATCTGTGCAAATATTTGAGCTCCGGGGGGAGGAGAGAGTCTGCCGGGAGGCTAACAAGTTTACAGACACAATGCCGAGTGCAGAGTGCCTACTGCCAGGATGGCAATGAAATGACGCAAGAAAAGTTGAAAAACTCCCTCCCCAGGACACACACAATTGAATTGTTAAAGAGGGAAATCTGTTGACAGGCGGGAAGGCAGAAATAGAATCCTCGAAGCCCCCGAAGCAAGTGTCAAAGTGTCCCATGCTAAATTTAGGCCTCACCCTTGGACGGAAATTGAGAGTGACACCACCACTGTGCTGGTATATTTTCCATCTCGTCCTTTCTATTTATTGGGTATATTTTTGTTAGGGGAAGATAAACTCACCTCCGCTGGAAACGTATAACCCTCGACACTGTGCTCCGAACCAAATTGATCGTTTAGGCCATAATGCATATGGATCTCATGGAAACGGTAGCGATACGAAAGCGGTCCACCGGATATATTCACTGGGGTTTGCATGCCATCATAATTGGCCACCGTATCATTGCCGGCGGTAAAGATGACACTGTGACCGGTATTTGTGATCAAACCGGATATCTACAGGGTAAAACAGATTTCCTTAAATAATTTAATTAATAATTTTTAGTGATCCCTGGAACTCACCCTGTGCTTGTCTATGTGCATGGGCCTCAGGTTGGGATCAAAGAGGAGACGCTGGGGCTCTAGATTCACCGGCGACTGACGACGACCCTTGTTGCAGAGCGACCACTCCGGATTGATGAGACCCCAAAAGGCGGGTCCTGTAACGATAGATACAAAGTATATATATATTTTTTTTATTAAAGCCTTGTCCTTCTACCCTCATCGATTCCCATCTGGGGTGGCAAGGAGATTTATGAACCCGTCTCGCCTCAAACTGTTTCCAAAAGTTTCCAAGCTGACCGCAGGGTAGGAGGAAGGGAGGGAGGAGCTACTGCAAAAACTTGCCACAAATTGCATAATGGCAGCAAAGAAGTAAAGGATGGGGGTCAGGAGAAGGTTGGAGAGTTGGTGGCTATAGCTAAAACCCAAGGGCCAAAGGCCATTACAATATTTGTCTGCATCCGCATAGGTGTTGGCCTGCATCGGTTTAGTTTTTTGGTTTTTGCGTCTGTTTGATTCTGGCCACACAACTAAGCCATCCCCTAACCCCTCCCCCCTTCTGACTGCTTTAATTTCGTGCGGTTGCCCCTTCGTAGCTTCCTCTTTTGGCCAGTAAAATTGCTGGTTTATTTTCCATCCGACTCCCATGGTCTGGGCTGCCACTGTTTCCATCTCCCCATCCGACTTTTGGCCAACTTTATCTGGCCGGGCAGCTTAATTTATGGCAATATGAAATCAAACTGAGCTGCCCCGAAAAAACAATAGGCTGGGGCGTTTTTCTTTTCCTTTTTTTTTTATTTCCACTTTCAGTGACTCCTTTTTCGGCCAGTTTTGTGTTGGCCATTGTCGAGTTTGCCATAATCTATGGCAGTTGTAGTTTCAGCAATTGAAAGAGTATCGTCTTTGGTGATTTGTGTTCTAGTTTTTCTTCTCCTACTTTTTTTTTGTTTAATTTCCAGAATGCTCTTTGAATTCATAATCTTGCAGTTTTGATATTCTTCTTGGGATGTGTTCTTTTCCAAGGATCAAACCTATGGATGTTCCTCTAACTTTCCAGCTACTTGTAATCCCATTTATGGCCCACATTTCTGCTTAGGAACTTTACCAGCCAATCCATTCCCGTCTTTTGCCATAAAAAATGCTTCGCCTGCAGTCGCATTGCGTATACGACACGTAGTACGAGCTAAAGAGGAGTGACTAGAGGTTAGAGGTTAGAGGTTAAAGGGAAAGGATGACTGGAAATCAACACGTTCGCTGCGAGGCCCGCAATCAGGAGCTTCAATCATAGATATGCCACGTACTCGCGTTTAAGCGATTGTTGACCTCAACGACGCCATCGCATTAGCCCAAAAAAAATAAAGCCAAGAGAGAAATGAGGATAAAAATAAAGGATAAAGCCGTGGTAAAAATAATCTTTAAGTGAAGGAAAGAAAGGGAGAACGCGGAGACTAGGCACCAAGATGGAGGGCGTGAATGGGTTAGGTAATTAGCTTGGGGAGAAGGTGATGAGCAAAGTGATCCTGCAGTTGCATTAAAAACTCCTAAATCAAGGTTTTTAAACTAAGAATTCTTAACTAAATATTCTTAAGATTTATGTAATGTATTATATTTAAAATTTTCGCCTGGCTTTTCTTTGTGATATATCGCTGGAGTAAAAGCCTTCGTGTCACGTTCTCATCCCTAGTGCACTACTCAGAACGAGGGGCATGATGGCAGGTCTTCAGATAATGCCACGCTAGGAGGATGTTGCAAGTCTCGAGTCTATTAAATTGCGGTCTGGCTTCAGTCGAGTCGAGTCAATGAGGCATTTGGCAAACGATTTTAGCAGCCATTAACAACATTAGTGGCCTGGCTGACGGGCTCTAGCCTGGTTTTTTTTTTTTCAGTTGGGAAATGGGGATTCCCCGTCCACCGGTGGTATGCAGCACGCTCCGTTTGATTCCATTTGGCCGCCTTTATTCGGCTCGTTGCGAGTGCAAATCACGTTAAACAAGTGGCACGTTGCCGTTGCAGTTGCAGTTGCAGCTGAGGCTTAGCGTGGCACACTGTGTCCTACCCTCTTCTTTCTGTGATACCCACTCAGTGGCACTCCCCTGACGAGGGATTGGGACCCTTCCTGGACTCCTGGATTCCCGGAGTCAAAGTCAGACCTGGGAACTGGCGCCGTTGAGTTCCTGTGTGCTCCTGGCAACATGCATGCAATGCTTATGCAAATTTATTTATGCCAAAAGAGACACAAAGTTCGCTACGGATTTCGGTTGCAATTTGTTGACAACACGTGTTACAAGATATCCCCATTCTCAAGTCCCTGCACAGGGAGAAAATCTTAAGAGGAAAAAAAGGTTGTTTAATTTTAACTTATAAAATTTGTTAGAAATAAAAATCTAAAAGATTTCATTTAACCTTGCAAACCTAAAGGACCCTACACAGTTTGTTGTTTAATCCCAAGAAAATGTAAGGTAATACTTGCTATATTTCTTATAGATTTCTACATTTTATATCCATTATGTTTAGTTCTTTTAAGAATTAGTTTTAATTATTTATTAAAGCTTTTATACATATTCGTACTTATTTATTATTTCTGTTGAAGAAGAAACCTCTTTGCCAATAGAGAATCTCTAGAAAACTTGTATTGAAACTTTAAAAACATTTTTATTAGGAAACTTTGTTTTATGTTTTAAAGTGTATGCCATTAATTATTATTAAGAACATGTTTGAGAATGTTAAAATATTAATTTCATTATTAAATTTTTAATTTTTTATAGTAAAATAATAAAAAGTATTTAAGTAACCCTTGTCCTGATAAATTCTGGAAAACCTTTACCATTTATTTATTTTTAGTATGTTAAAATATTAATTTCATTTCTGAGAATGTTAAAATGTTAATTTCATTATTAAATGTTTAATTTTCCTATAGTTAAATAATAAATATTTTTTAAGTAACCCAATTTTTGATACTTTCTGGAAAGCCTCTCTCTCTCTTTCTTTCTTAAGTTTTCGATTTTTTCCTATAACAGTTTATCCTGGATTTTCTTCAATTCTTTTCCCTTTATTTTCCCCTATTTTTGTGCATTCACTTTGCCTTCTTCCTTTCACCTTTTCCCTGTTCACCAAATCCAATTCAAAATTCAAAGCACTTGAACTTATTTATGCATTTGTCTTGTGCAAATGGCGTCGCCGTTGTCTCTCTAATAAGATTAAGAAAGATGCTTCCACAGAAGGATGCAGGGAATTGAGACTGCAAACACTGGGAGAAAGGGAGAACAATAAATAGAGAGAGATAGAGAGAGAGAGAGAGAGAGAGAGAGGGGAGAGAAACTGGTAGAAAGAGCAACGCTTATCGGCTGTCTGCTGTCCTGTCTGGACATAATCTCAACGGGACCTTTGCCCCGATTTCTCTGCCACTAGTGACACATGGAGGCATTTCGGAGGTCTCTCTCACTCTCTCTTCCTCTCTTTGGCGATTCTCTTTCCCTTGCAAGTCGCCATCTTCCTGCTCTCTTTCTCCCGTCTGGGACTCTGCTTATCACGTTTCAGCGCCAGACAATGGCGCAAAAAAAAGGAAAGTTCTCCACTTTCCCCCTCTCTCTCTTTCTCTCTGTGAATACTTTGTCTGCCTTTCCATTTGACAGCTGCAAATCGGCTTCGTTGCCGCTTTTCCTCTCTTTCACTCGGACAATTTTCCACACTCGAAGAAATAAAGGGTTTAAAAAATAAACAAAAAGGGATAGAAAAAATAACCATCTTCAAATTTCTTCAAAGAAGTATATATAAATAAATAGATCATACTTCCAATAAAATTATAAATAATATTTTATAAGTATTTAATATTACATATCCAACTGAAAACTATTAGAAATTATTTAGTTAAAAAAACTACCTTTAAGTTTATTCAATAAAGTAAATATAAATATATAGATCATACTTTCAACATAATTATAAATAATATTTAATAAATAATATAGATAAAATATCTAAACTTATTCATACTAAATTTCCAACTAAAACTTATTACAAATTATTTAGTTAATAGTTTTTCTTGAACTGCATTTCCTTTTGCTTTCCCATCTCTATTGCCTTGGTTCCCTTTTTCCATGCATTTCACGCGTGCAGCTTCAGTCGCTGGGAAAATCGTTTTACAGCAGCAACAACAATTGGCCCTGGCTTTCCCCTCTGACCCCTCTAACCACCCCTCAATGGGGCAGGTGGAAACCCCACCATTTTCCACTCCGCTTGAATTTTCACCCACAACTTTGTTGCTTTAGCGACGCGTGCTTCTCGTTGGCTGAAATTTTACTTTCCGCTTTCCGTCCGTGGTTATTGTTGAGCTTTGATTAAAATTTACTTTGTTGTTGGTATTTATGAAACTTAAACTGCGGGGAAGTCGGAGGAAAACGAGAAGGAGTTGTACTTACCAGAGATGCCATCGTATGTCCACCAATCCTCCCAGCTGACGGCGAGCAGAACTGCAAGGAAAAAGAGATGAAAATGCATGAGAAAAATCGGAGTTGGTGAATAAGCCGCGAACATGTCAAAGATCTGATTGGGTCAATATATATATACAGTATGATATATAATATAAATATATATATATGGATATGTGTGGCATTCAGTAATACGCAATATTATCGGAAAAGCTCACAAGAGTCTGATTGCCTTAATATTAAGGTAAAACCAGAGAGGAGAGTGAAGTCACTTGGTGAAAGGGTTTTTCTTCAAACAGTCACACATATGCTTGTTGTTATTTGTTTAAACATATACTTATTTCTATATTTATTACTATATTTATATATATGTATATTTTCTATTCATATTTCTGAGTAATATTTAGCAGGAAAGAAAGTGAGATTATAATAATATAGACACTGTTTAAGTAGTTATAATTTTTGTGTTTGGAATATTAATAATATTAATATTAATATAAATACTAAATTTGAAGCTCTTATTAATTTAGACAATAATTGCTACAAAATATTCTCATATAAAAGGTAATAAATTAGTATGTATATTAAGACCATTTCCCTATAGATAAATTAAAACCAATCAAGTCATTATAAAATCTATGTTTCCTAGTCGATCCTCCCAACTTAAATAGATTCCTAAGACATTTCCTAGGTTTCTTGAGTTTTAAATATTAAATATTAGATCAAAGACTCTTAATAGTTATGATAATAATTACTACAAAATACTCCAATATTAAAAACGATAAAATAGTATATATATTAAGACCATTCCCTCATAAATTAGAATCTTCAAAACAACTCCTTATAGATACTATGTTATTCCCCATGTTCCTTAGTCGATCATCCCCACTTTCCTTGATATACATTGGATTCTTGAGTTAGAAATATTAAATATTAGAGCAAAAGCCTCTTAAAAATGTATAAAAGACGATAAAATAGTATATATATTAAGACTTTACCCTTATAAATTAGTGTATTTAAAACAAGTCCTTATAAATATTACTTCCCCTGTACCCTAGTCGATCATCTCCACTTTCGTAGAGTCCTTGTACATTTTCCAGGAGTCTTGTGCTTAAATATTATATATTAAAGCATAACTTCTAATTATTTATTACTAAAATGCTACAAAAATTCTAATATAATAAATTATCAATAAGTTGTATATAGTAAAATATATTAAGATTCCCTTTTATATGTTAGTAACTTTAAAACAGGTCCTTATAGATACTATACCCCATGTTCCCTAGTCAAGCATTCCCTCTTTCCCAAAGTCCTTAGACATTTCCTAGGATTCCTGAGTTTTAAATTATAAAAAATATAAGAGCAACTCTCCTTATTAATTATAATAATAATAAATACAAAATATTTTAATATAAGGGAGGAAAAAGAATAGTTAAAAATAGTATATACATTAAGACCATTTCCCTTATAAATTAGCAACTTTAAAACAAGTCCTTATAGAGACAATTTTCCATGTTTCTTAGTCAATCATTCCCACTTTCCCAAAGTCCTTATACATTTTCCAGAAGAGGGAGGGGGGAGCACCTTCGTGTCCTGCACTTTGTGAAAATGATTTTTGCTTACTTGCCTTTTAATTTTTTCGTGTTCAAGCTGGTTTTCGCTTATTTTTTTTTTGGTGTTCGCCAGTTCGTTGGCTCGTTTTTGTTTTGCGGCTGCTTTGCTCTTTTTGCTCGCCCCGTAAATTCACTTCCGTCACTTGTTAACTTTAACATTCATCGACACTTTTTGCCTTTTGGCTCTCTTCGGTTTTTTTTTTTTTATATTTTTTCACCCCCCTTTTTTCCTGGCCAGGACGGAATGCAGCTGAAGCACTTTGTTATTTTGACAGCCGACAAAAAGCGGGCCAATGCCTTTGGCCAGAGGCGGCAACCCTTTTCTTTTTGGTTTTTTTTTTTTTTTTTTTTTTTTGGAGTGAGCAACCGGCAACCTGCACTTTTTCTTTCCTTCCGCGACTCGAATCAAAGTCAAGAAAATGTTGAGTCATTAAAACGCGTTACGAGACCCCCCTACCGCCCTCGTCCTTGGAGCTACCCGCAAAAGTGCAATGCGAAATGCACTGTAGTTTCCGGCAAAAAGGACGAAGGACGCAAAATCCCCAACGAACTCGAGTTCCACTCTAGATATTCTTGTGAAACTTTCTGACGGGTGTTATTATCCAGCAAAAGGTATATTTACTAAGTAATCAGTAGGATTAGGGATAGTTTTTGAGAAAGAAATGGGGAGAAAGTTCCTAAAACTAAACTAGCTAAGCTAATAAATAACTACAGTATGACTACTTCAAATAAATATTATATTAAGTTATTTAAACACATTATTAGTTTATCAGATATACACCAAATCATTCATTTTAAATAAATTATAAGCCAAGCTTAATTTTATATTGAAAACTACCAGAATACTCTACATTTTCTTACTCTTTTTCCCATCCTTTTAAATATTTTGCAACAAAAAACCTTGAAATTTTGTGACGTTTCGCAGGAAGGGGAAAATGCGGAAAAGCGGAAAAGGGGTGAAAAGTAAAAGCCAACGACAGGAGCCACATCAACGAGAGTAATAACAATAATAATAATAATATTGCAAAGTCACGGGCAATGATTGAAATTAATGGATTTCTAAATGCTCAGCGTCATCGCGATGCCCTCTTAACCCTTTGGCAGCCAAGGGGGCGGATTTGCAAGGGTGTTAACCCGCTGTCGACAAATTGTTGCTGCGGTTATATTATATATATATATATATATATTTCCCTTGGCAGGACTTTTTGAAGTTTAATTTCATTTAAAATGGTTAACAAAATTGGTTGAATAATAATCTCTTGTGTTTTTGATTTACTTTTTTTCTGTGGAAATTCAACTTAAACTAAACTTATGTTGTAATTTAAATTGGGAAATCTTAGAAATATGTTTTCTTAGCACATACATTTTATATGTAAAGTTTTCCTAACATCTATTTCATCATTTGATATCCAAAACTCCAATTTCCCATTACACTTTCTTTGCATTTTATTTTTGAGAAATTTCCACACTTTTCTAGGAGATTTTTTCTTCTGCAAAAAAACATCTCAAATAATTTCTATTCAATTCGCTGCTTCTCCTCATTCCCTTCCACCTCCTCTTTTGTTTGTTCATTGAATTCTATTTATAAATTTGCACCTGACTGCACGCCCCTCCCTTACCTGCCACGCCCCTCCTTTGTTGGCTTTAACCTCTAGCCCCCCCTCCATCTTGGCCCTGGTGTTCGCAATCATAAAAGGCAACAAAATGTTGAACAAATTTTTATGGCTGCACAAAGAAACGGAGAGCGACAAAGCGAAAGACCAAGGCAAAAAGTCACCCAGTCCGTAGGATGCACGGAAAATAATTTTTAATTAATTTCTAAATAAATATTTTTTAAATGAAAATCAAAAATACAAATTTAAAATATATAATAATTATTATAAATATAATTATTACATATTTTAATAGGCATATTCTATATAAAATTATTATTATACATATATACTATACTATATATTTTACTAGGCATTATAATATTTTTAATATAGGAATAGTTGCCTTAAAATGTCTTAACCCTTATTTAAATTTATAAAATATTTAAAGGCTTTTCAGAGTAATCCAATGGAATATTATATTTGTTATTAGGATGCATTATATACATATATATAATAAAATATTAAGATATATTGGTAAACATACATATATTCAAGAGTCTCATTAAACTGATATAAATTATAATTATAATCCATAAAAAATTATAAGTTTGATATATTTTCTTAAGTATTAAGTATATAAAATAATTCTTATGTATATAAAAAGTGTATATTTTACTATACATTATAATATTTTTAATAAAAATGTCTTAACCCTTATATTTTATTTAGTTTATAAAATATTTTAAGGCTTTTCAGGTTTAGACAATAGAATATAAGACATGAATATATATTATATACATATGTTTTTGTTAAAAATATTAATATATAAATCAAACCTAAATAAATAAATCAATATAATTTCAAGAACCTTATATACTAGGTTCTCTTTATAAAATAATTCTTATGTAATTAAATAGTGTATAATTTAATAGGCATTATAAAAGATTTAGTATAGAAAAGGTTGCTCTAAAATGTCTTAATCTTTTTTTTATTTTAATTTAAAATATAGTTTTTTATTTTAGTTTATAAAACACTCAGCAAGAGCCAGTGAAATGCTTTATTTAATAATAGGATTATAATATTATAAGATATATATATTAAAACTAAATAAATGAATCAATATTAATTCAAGAGCCTCATTAAACTCATATAAATGCATCATTAAGATTAATATAACTAATCGATTATATGTCACCATTTGAAGTATGTATTTTCATAATATATATATATAATTTTTATTTAATTTTTTCAACATAAATTAAATCCATAAATATAAATGAATCATTAAGATTAATATAACTAATCGATTATATATCACCATTTGAAGTATATATTTTCATCTTAAATATATATAAACTTTATTTTATTTAATTTTTTCTTAATATCTTCTATAAGATCACCATATTTTCTCACAGTGTATCCAATGCCATGGCAGCACAGCCAGCCGTCTGTCTCCACCCGCACTCCCCCCTCTTATGGCATCCCCCTTTTTTTTTTTGGTTTGTGGTTGTCGCTTTTGTGGCTGCCACCGAATTTTCCTCTCTACCCGAAATTTTCTCTCTCTGTGTTCGCCGTCGCCGTCGCGCCTTTTAGTATTAATTACAAATGAAATTTTCTTATCACTTCTGTTGCCGTTGACAACTTTCTGTCTGCTGGCCCGTCTGGATCGTTGCCATTCCCCTTGGCCAATGTCTACTGCCTTTGGGCCCATTGTTTAGGGCCAATAAGCAAAAATAGTTGCTGCTAATTGTTGTTTGCCCGTTTATGGTTATGGCCAATGCGTGCTAATTGTCGCTGGGGTCTTCTCTCTCTCTCTCTCCCTTGGTCGAGACTT